GTCTAGTAGAGATAGAGAATAAAATAAATAATATTTGTCTCTCTAGCACCAATAAAGCTAATACCAATACCAAACTAACAATGCTGGTATCAACTTCTCTATTACCAAAACTTGTATCAATACTACAAGTACTAATAATAATACAAATAACATTAACAATAATAAAGGCTTCAACACCATTACCAGATATACATATCCTGTCTATACAACCAATAATATAGATATTAATACTATTATCAACAAAAAAAACAAAGACAAACAACAACGTCAGGTTACTAATAATGATAATAACTATCAAAACCTATTAGTATCTTCTGAAATACCTAGCAGCTATTCTAAAAGACCACATTAAATTTTGAAAGATATGGATAAAAATCAGTATAAATTGTTTTATATATATGACAAATAAATATCAGCAAATAAAAATTGAGAAGTTTAAATATAAAATAATTGTGATTTTGTAGTATAATATTTAAACTTCTTAGTTTTCACTTGATAGCATTTATATTTAAAGAAATAACAGAGCTATTGGTTTAATTAATATTTATTTTAGTATGTAGAATTAAGTTATTTAAATATTAAGTGGCTTTAACAATTCATTACATTTGAATCATATTAAAAAATAGTTTGAAATATCAAAAAAATATTATGCTCCTGTTAATAAGGCTTTGGTGGATAATTTTAGATTTAAATTGAGTAAATTAAATCATGTTCTCAAAAACCTTTATCAACACCTAAATAAATTATAAAAACTTAAACAAGATTTTGACAAATTTATACTAAATAAAAAAGAACAAGAGTAAATGGAAGGTATCAAGAAGTAAGTATGATCTATTTAATTTTTTATACTAATAACAAATATCTTTAAAATTTATACAAAGTTGTATTATATTTGTATTCTATTAACTACTGTTACTATTGATACACAATTAATATAAATATAATATAATTTTATTTTTATATTCATTATTTTGTTAAATAAATAACTAAATAGGTTAATTATACTTTTTTTATTTTAATAACAATACCAATCTACCAATATTAATTGTCAGGGATGATGCTGAAATCGGATGATGCTGAAATTCACATGATCACATGATGATCTTCTGTATAAACACCTAGCATTACTATTGCCATTGGTGTTAGAGTTAGAGTTAGGTATAGAAGGTTTTTTGATTTGATTTTACATATATTATATCTAATTCTACTAGGGTAATTAAAATATGGTCATACCCAAATCCTAACCCTAACATTAATAGCGAAATTTTTTAGTTGGTGATGCTAGATACTTTAGGTTTGTTTATATAGAAGATCATCATGTGATCATGTGAATTTCAGCATCATCCAATTTCAGCATCATCCCGACATTAATTATAAATCATCTATTTATTTTATAGAAAACAAACAGATGTATCAGAGATATTGACCATTTGGTTAATGCTAAAGATAAGAACCTTGTTGCTTTTTCTTCAACAATGAGTTAAAATAATTTTAAAGCTGACCTTGAATATATTTTTAATATTGGTGGCTACACTTAGACAAAATTTTTAAAACAGATATAGAAAAAGTACAATTAGAAGACCAATTAAAAATTTATCTCAAAAACAAAAAAGCTAATAATAATTATATACTTTGTGTTAAGAATAAACCATAGAGATCCTAGAGGGTAAACAATTACAATAAATATTATAATTATAATTATAATTATTATTTTTAAATTTTTTTACTCTATATAAATTAGATTAAAAAATTTTGCAGCTTACTGACGAAATAGACAAAAATATTGCTAAAGTTAAATATACCAGAAATGATGATATAATGACCAAAGATAGGTCAATAGATTTACACTGCTATATAATGCCCTGTCTAGACTATTTCTTCTTCTTATTATTTCAAAAGTAAAGAAGAACAAGAAGAAGAGAAAGATAATGTTGATGTAGATGACATTGATGATCATGATGAATATGATAAACTAAAAGATGAAAGAAATATCCCTATAAATAGTAGTAGCAATGAAGGTAATAACAAACCAAATAATGGAAAAATAAAGAAAGGCTGATACTACTGATAGAAAAATTACTAAAGTAATTAAATTGAAAATTTCTCTAATATATTATTAAAAATATATTTGTTTTTTGTATATATTATCTTTTTTTACTTTGTAGTATTGCTTTATATTGCTTTTGTCTATCACCTTTTTTTAAAATTGTAATATTGCTTTTAAAATAATACAAATAAAATGTTTAATAAAGTATATTTAGTTTTATTGCTTTAATTAAAAATGTTTTAGTAATATTTAATACAGTATAAACAATTATTGACATAATAAAAAAATTCTATTAACATACAAGCTAATGGAACCAGATAATATAGACAACTTAACGAAAGATTTAGTAATAAGAAATCTAAATAGAATAATGGTATATGAAGTTTTATTATATAGACAAGTAAGGGATGCCTTGAGAGAGGCAGATCTCTGCCTTCATGAAGATATAATTAAAAGCTGAGCTGAAAAGACCAAGATCACAAGAAACAACCTAGCATCAATTGAGTATATTACAAATATGAGTAAGTAGAAAATTTAAAAAGAAAAGAACAAGATGGTTAGAATAGAAATAGAAACTCACTCCGTTATGAACTAAGTAACCAGTCCTAAAAAACAAAGGCAAAATAAAGAAAAAATAGCAAATAAAGATATAAGTAGAGTGGTAGAACAAATACAAGACTTAAAAATCGAATCTAAATAGCAGAACCAAATAAACAACATATGTACTCCTAAAGAAGAATCCTCAAGTTCTGTAGCTAAATACAGTAGCACAGATATAGCAAGAGGCAATAAAATTAAAAAAGACAAAGAAGTGCCAATAGACAGTATCTTGGTTGATATAATTAAACAAAACACAAATCATAAACAAAACAGAACCATGATAATAGAGCCTCTTAAGCAGGAGCCAAATCTTTTTGAAGCAGGTGGTTCAATCGAGCAAAGTATTTGGTCATCAAATAATAGAATATTTGAAGGTGATAAATTATTCTATGCCAAAGCATCTGCCTTTAAGGTACCCAGAGATTCTTCTAAAGAAAGAACTATGAATATGAAAGGAATGCTGAATAGGAACAAACATATAAAGTTCTTTCCTCAACCAATTCAACACACCGTAGACTAACACAAAACAAAGTAATAACATGGATACAACAAGCCATAACACTAAACCTACATCCAATAATTCTTGG